AATTCTTATCAATTTCTTTAACTAAGTGTTTTTTTACTACATTTATATTTCTGTTTTATAGAGAGATCAAGGATTTTTATTTTGTTCTTTTTGAACTGCTGTCATAGTCCTCCAGTATGCTGTTCATTTTTTTCCAGGGTATTTTCCACCTTCTACTGCTTTCTAGAGGTTTCCTGCTTCTCTTCTTGGACCCCTTCAATATTCTGTTAAGCTTCTGATGTTAAGAGCTTCTATCAACTTTTCTTTTATATGATCTACCATGTTCTTCATTTCTATGATTTCCAACTGTATTCATTTTCTCATTTTGACTTTCATACCTTTTTGTGCTCTGCTATTTGTGCTATTATTCTTTAAATTCATTGAACACCCTCATCATAATGTCACTAAAGACATTGAGGATTAACTGGTGTCATTTATGTCTTAAGTGATACTGTGTTTTGTTTATTGAGCGTGATGAGTTCCTACTTGTTTTCCCATTGGTTTTCTAGTGTTATGTGGTCAGGATGGGTCTTTGTAGTTATGCCCTGCTGCTAGAGCCCTCCCTCACTGGAAGATACTAAAAGATAAAGTTGGCGACTGCTCTCTGTCTTTTCTGCCCATCCTCACAGAATGACAGGAAGAATAACTGTGAGTAGATATATTTTGTTAAGCAGAGCTATTGTGCAACCACACAAGTTGCCAATAATTCAGGAGCTGAGATGTGTGCCTTTAAAGTGATGAAGGTCCAGTGTGGAGGCTGCTGGGGCCAACCGTGAGGGAGAGGCTCTTCCTCCTCTTGGAGCTCTGCCTCTTGTTCCAGAACAGCTCCAGTGATATAAGTGGGGTACAGGCCTCACCTGGGATTGTGGAGCGGCAAGCAGAAGTCAGTGGGATCATTTGGCCTCTTTCATATCAGTTTAAAACCACTTAACTCTGATTGTTCAGTAGTAAGATTTAAATCTAAGTATTTGATTCCCCCACTTCCTGCCCTTTTCTGTTTGTGATTGCTTTCACTTTCTAAACAACCTGATCTGAAAACATGACTGATACAACTTTAATTTTCTTGAGTTATTGGAGACCGATATTGTGTTACAACATCTTGGAGAATGTTCCATGTTTATTGGCGAAGAATGTGTACTTTGGGGTTTCAAAGAGGGGTGAAGAACTCTAGAAAATCTGCTAGACCCATTCCCTCAATTTCTTCCTTAAGACCATTGTTTTCTTTTTGAGTATTTTTCTGGTTGATCTATCAGGCAGTGAGAGAGTGGTGTTGAAATATACTACTACCACTTTATTGCTGTCAGAATCTTTTTTCAGGTCTATATATGTTGTTATATATATCTTGATAATTCATCATTAGGTGAAAGTATATTTAGGAGTCTAAGTTCTTTTTGATGTACTAATCACTTGATCATTATATGATGGCCATCTGTAGCACTTCTTCACAGAATTTCTTTTTTTGAAATCTATTTTGATATAAGTATGCTCACTTTACCTGTTTTATATTATTTAATTTGATCCTGAAGCAACATCCTGAAATGCTCAGGTCTTGTTTCTGTCCGAGAGGTTATAGAAACAGTTGGTGCTGGTATAGACTTTTAGGCATCACCGCCCGTAGCTCATTTAGCTTGGTGCACTTGTACACTGCATCGTCTTTGTGTCTGTCTGTTGTGCTCTGGTGGCTTTGAATGCAGTTCTGATTTTGTAGTATCAAGTTTTTAAAACTGTAGTGAGAAAAACGGCTTTAGTGGGGATGAATTTAGCAATTCACCAAGGATGGGAGGGGAGGGGGGGAGGCAGAGGGAAGGATTGGATGGAATGGAATAAGAAGCAGGAGGTTCTGTGCAAGTTACCATATAGGAGCTTCTTTGCATGCTCCAGGAATTCCAACAGATTAAAAATCTTTGGGCTATTTCATGAACCCTGTCTGCTTATGCTCACCTGTAGTTTCTAGGTGCCCTTCTACCCAAAGTTCTCTGGATCCACCCAACAGTATTACTCTTTATCCTGAATGTCGGGTTAGAGTGATAGCCCAGCGGGTAGGTAATTTGCCTTCCATAAGGCTGACCGGGGTTCGATTCCTCCATCCCTCTCGGAGAGCCCAGCAAGTATCCCACCCATGTGGCAAGATACGGCTAGTTACCCATGGCATATTCAATATGCCAAAAACGTAACAACAAGTCTCACTTCATATTCTTGGAGTGAGCAGATGCTATTGGGCTACACTAGCACAAGAAAGGGACGAATGGAGATGTTACTGGTGCCCCCTCAAGTAAATCAATAAACAACGGGAGGACAGTGCTGCAGTGTTATCCTGAATCTCGGTCTGAGCATACAACTTGTCACAGGAAGAGGAGAAATGCAGGCAAAGAAATTCATAATTTTCTTTTTTAATATTTATTTTTTATGAATTTATTGAGGGACCCATATGGTCCCTCAAGCAATGCTAGGGAGTATTCCTGAGTTTGGAGCTAAGAATAACTCCTATGCATGATTGGGTGTGGGCCCAAAACAAAATCAAACAATTAGTAAATCACAGTTCTTTCTTTACAGAACTTGGATATCTCTAGACTATTTTCCAAGACTGCTCAGTTTCTGAAAACCAGAAAAATTCAGTTACAGTGCAAACTAAATTAACATAGGAATCCTAAAGTATTGGATACAATATCATACAAATATACATATATTGGCCTTTGATTCTGTTGAGACAGAAGCGGTCATTGAAGCCTTAGCCAATAAAGGCATTCAAACTTAATACATCAGGATCCTCCGTGAGCTGTATTACGGATTCACTACCAGGATCTCACCATTCTACAAAGAAGTAATTATTGATGTCAAGAGAGGGGTTCGGCAGGGTGATACCATTCCACCGAAACTCTTCAGTGCCACCCTCGAGAACATAATGCAACGACTGGAATGGGAAGGAATGGGAGTGAAGATAGATGGTCGGCTAATATACCACTTCCGATTTGCTGATATTGTTTTAATAACACCAAACATTAGACAAGTGGCACAAATGCTGGCCGACTTTGACCGTGAGTGTGGAAAGGTCGGACTACAGCTAAATCTTATGAAGACAATGTTTATGAGAAACAGCCTCGTTCCTGATGCCCCATTTGCTCTCAACAGAACGACCATCTCCAAATGCAACAGCTATGTGTACTTAGGTCGATAAGTCAACATGACAAATGACCTGGCACCTGAGCTGTGCAGGAGGAAGAGAGAGGCCTGCAACGCCTTCAGAGGGTCCAAGAAATAGATAAGAGGAGGAAGAACCTTCAGCTCTGGGCACATCTCTTTGATTCCACTGTTCTTCCTGCATTAACATAAGCCTCAGAGACCTGGGCCCTAAGCAAAAGGGATGAGAACGCTATTTGGGTCTCCCATAGAGGAATTGAAAGAGCTATGCTTGGAGTATCACATTTCACTCAAAGAGAGAAAGAATCTGGAGTTCCGACCTCAGTCAATGATCAAGAATCAGGGATGCTGTCTCCTTTGCCAAGGCATCAAAAATCAGATGGGCTGGTCACATAATGAGATTTAGAGACGAATACTGGACTAGAGCTGTTACTGACTGGATTCCACAGGATGTCAAAAGACTGCGTGGCCGCCCACCTACGAGATTGTCAGACTTCTTCATCAAGATCATGAACAATCGGTTTGAGGCTCTTCGTGTTCCTAGAATGAACAGATGCCATTGGGCTACACTAGCACGCAACAGGGACAAATGAGGATGTTACTGGCGCCTGCTCTAGCAAATCGATGATTAAGGGAAAGTCAAGTGATCAAGTGATACATATGTTGAAATATTTCATGGAAATATTGAACCATCTCTAGAGATACAATAGAGATACAATGATCACTAAAGAAAAAACTTGATAAAGAAACAGGCTAAAAATGCAGATCCCGGACGAGAACGCTGTAGTCTTTTTGCCCCCGCGCCTGGGTGTCCTTCGCCGGGACCCCTTGGAGGGGAGCGGGTTGAGCTTTCCTCCCCACCCCGACCGGGTCTCCGGCAGCCGAAGACCTTCAGGACCAGCCACCACCATGCTGAGACCACTCTCCGCACACATGAAGGTACTGGCAGAGGGACAAAGCCACGCGGGTTCCGGGGCCGAGACCTCCAAGCCTACTCGGATTGGAGTCGAGAATCTTCCATCCAGATCCTCCAAATTCCAGCAGGCGGGGGTCACACCCACCACCTGGCCCCCTGGCGCCGTGTAATCCCATCAGCGGCCAAGACTCAGAGACTATAAAATGCAGATCCTGGAACCGCGCTTATCAAAACTTTTTTTTTTTAATGACATCTTATTATCTCATTCCTACTTTGGACAAACTTGCAGGCTATCGAATGTAGCCTGCCCACAGGGCAGAGTCTGGCAAACTCCCCGTGGCGTACCAAATATGCCAAATACCAGTAACAATGATGGGTCTCATTCTCCTAAAGAGCCGTGAATATAATCTCAGGGTTAGGATGAAAGAGACGTTACTGGGGCCTGCTCGAGGCAATCGACGATTAACAGGATGATGAAATGAAATGAAATGAAAAGAAACAGGAGAAATCAAACAGAATGATCTATGTGTTAATGATTTTGTTAATGTGAAATGACTGAAATAAGCAAATATAAGCACCAATAATGCAGTTTTGTGTATGTGAGTTTGAGCTAGGAGGGACTTGAGAGATACTGGTAATGAAATAAGAATTTCTTTTAGGAACACAAAAAAGTTAATAAACAATAGTGCTAACAGATGCACAAATGTGAATATAGTAAAACTACAGAAGGAATATAAAATATGAAATATAAGATATAAAATAAATGTTTGAAAGATATAAAATAATTAATAAAAATATTCTAAATAATTATTTTATAAATAATTAAAATAACTTACAAAATTAATCTATTCTTTAATATATATGCTGAGAGAATTCAAAATGATTATAGTAAATAGTAAATATGGAAAAATGCATATATGGTGAATAAAAATCTTTGAAAATCTTTTTTATTTAAACTTTGCATTAACTAAAAGTTTTTAAGTAAGATAAAGCAGCAAAAGTTGGATTCAGGAGTGTGGCAGTCTTGAGAACAGGTTTTTGTCTCACTTCCTTGTGAACAACAGTCACTGTGGAAAGTGCTACTTTTTGTATATGAGCAACAGTAATAATCACTCTCATCTTCAGGCTTGAGCCCAGAGATGGTCAGGGTCGCTCTGTTGCCAGACTTGGAGCCAGAGAAGCGATCAGGGATGTCTGAGGGCCGAGATGTTGTATCATAAATCAAGAGTTTGGGGGCTGTTCCTGAGTGCTGTCGGTACGAGGAGACACTATACGAGTAAGCACCAATGTCATTGTGGCTTCCGTCACAGGAGATGGGGACCGTCTGCCCCAGAGCCTCAGACAAGGAGGAAGGCTGAGTCAGGATCTGTTGGGTCCAGGAACCTGAAAAAAAGGAGGGGGAAATGAGAACCACACTCTGCTGAGTTTGAGATTTTTCACAGGTGAATCTGGGAGAGGACATAGAATCAAACAAGAATCCCCCTCATGCCCACCCCCGGATAACTCACCTGTGGCCTGGGTGAGGAAAGTGAGGAGAAAGAGAGCCCAGGTCATAGTGGAAATGCCTCAAGAATGCTGTCCCCTGATTCCCAACACTGGAACTTGCTCACCCACCTACTCTTATCCCTTGCCCTGTTTTTGTGGGGAGTGGGTGGGGGGGGTGGAAGGGCCTCCATGCAAATATATTTCCTCACTTAACATCTGTTCACACCCACCTGCTCAAACGTGACCCTGTGATGCTGCATCTCAGAACTGTAGCTCTAAGTTGAAAGATGAAAACACATCTGCAGGGGTTATCACAGATTGTACCATGATGTAATTCCCATCCTTCCTATTAAAGGAGACATGGCCCAGGAATTCCTGGCTCAAGAGTCTAGGGCCTCCATTCTGTGTTCTGTGTGAAATTGTGACCATGACAAAGGAGGCAGGTGGACAGGATCTGACTGTTCTATGTCCATAGCCTTCAGGCAATTCTGAGGTTTTCCCATTTATCTTCAGACCTCTACAGTCTGGGTTTTCTGTCTTATGTCTGTATGTTCTCTATGAAATAGGGATTGAGGGGGAAATTATTTAATGATTATGCATAATAGAATGTATTGGGGTATAACTCATGGGGGACTCAAACTCAGTCACTTGAGGAAAGCTCATCAAGAGCCCAACAAGCCTTGAGTGCCCTCTGGTGGACACATGTCATAGCCGATTTACAGCACAGGCATAACACTGTCTTGCAATGGAGACATTGCAGAGCCTGCTCAAGCAAATAGATGAACAATGGGACGACTGTGCTACAATGCTACAGTGCAACTGTAGCACAGTCCTCCTGCTGTTCATTGATTTGTTCTAGTGGGCACCAGTAGTCTTCATTGTGAGACTTGTTGTTACTGTTTTTGACATATAGAATACGCCACGGGAATCTTGCCAGGCTCTGGTGTGCTGGCGGGATACTCTCGGTAGCTTTCCGGGCTCTCAGAGAGGGAAGGAGGAATCGAACCTGAGTCCACCGTGTGCAAGGCATAGCCCTAGTCGCTGTGCTATCACTCCAGCCCTGTATATGTCGAACAATCCCAGTTCTCTCAGCTCCTCATTTAGGGCTCTGCTCTCTTTACTGATATTCTGTCTAGTTGGTCTGTCCAGTGGGAAAGTGGTATGCTGAAGCTTTCTACGACTATTGTGTTTCCATTAATGTCTTTCTTTAGATTTGTGAGCAGAAGCATTATGAACTTTGTTGAGCCTTTATTTGGTGCATAAATGCTGATGACAGTATTTCTTAATCTATTGTTCCACTGACCAAAGAGTAATGTTCATCATTCTCTCTAATTACTTTATAGGCCTGAGCTGATATTAGGGCATTTGCCTTGCACACAACCAGCCTGGCTAAGCCGGGTTCGATTCCTATGCCCCTCTCGGAGAGCCGGGCAAGCTATCAAGAGTATCTGGACCGTGCAGCAAAGGCTGGCAAGCTACATGTGATGTATTCAATATGCCACACAGTAACAACAAGTCTCAAAATGGAGACGTTACTGGCCCACTCGAGCAAATCAATGAACAACGGGAAGACAGTGTTTGACAGTGTTTGAATGTAATTTGGTCTGATATAAGTATGAATGTCCAGCTTTTTTGGTGCTGTTTTTGTCCACTGGCTTGTATGATTGTTTTCCTTTAAGTCTGTATTTATCATGTGAGTTTAGGTGTGTTTCCTGTAGGCAACAAATGAATGGATTTTCTTTCCTGATCCAGCCAGCTACTCTATGCCTTTTTATAGGGGAGTTCAGTTTACTGACATTCAGAGAGTACTGACATAAATGACTATGTTGCCTTGTGCGTATGTGTGTGTGTCTGTGTGTGTGTGTGTGTGTGTGTATGTGATCCAGGTGTTTTTGACAGCAGAGGCAACTGAGTGGGAAATGGAATATTCCATCCAATTTCTTCTGCTACCTTCCTCCAGTCCAAGTTCAATACAGACCCTTGGGTCCACTAATCCATCTAGCCTCAGCTGGTGAACATCCTTCTACTTGTCCCCAATACATTACTTTGCTGTTAGTATCTTGGTGTAGTGCTGGGGTGAGGAGTAAGGAAATATAGGAAAAAATAAAATCAACAAAGGAAGAAGTTCAGTTAAGAAATGTAGGATAGCATTGGTTTGTTCTTTCTGCCTGGCTGCAGGGAACTTAGGTTTATTGGTGTAAAAAACTAAGCACGCAGAAGGTTGTGTGTTCGCGGGCTCTCCAGAGGGCTCTATCTCACTGCCCGCGTTTGGTGCCCTAGAGCTGCTGTGTGTGGCCTGGATCCAGACAGATGTTGGCCAAAGGCAGATGAACAAAGAGAAGAGAGGCAGGCTGGTTGGTCTTAGTTGCAGTTTATTCCAATCCTCTCTTCATTCACTCATGTTTCTCTCTGCCTCTCTCTCCCCCTCTCTTGCCTCCTACTCTCCTGCAGTCTGGGCTGACACTGCACCCAATCAGGTAACCAAATCAACTTAAGAAAGCCCTTCCTGAGGGCCCACCTAAAAAGTATTCTAAAGCCCTTCCTGACTGCCCAAGGGCAAAATACCTCCTTGGGCAGTTTTTCTCTTTTTCTCAGTCCAATAAACTATCAATAAACTATCAACAATCAACTATTCCTGAGGCTATGGAGGAAGGAGAGAACACTGTTAACCTACATATTGGGTTACACACATCACAGTGCTCAGGAGGCACTCCCTTCCTCTGTGCTTATCTGTAAATTCTTTCTTTGTGCTCTGCTCCCCCAGTGGGTCAATAACCTTTATCTTCTAATGAGATTCTGGTAACTTGTAAATACTGCTTTTCTCTTCTCCTTATGTCCTCTGCATAGTTACTTCATTACTTTTTGTATAGACACAGTAAAACAGTTAATGCCACTTTTGTAACTTGGGAGTTAATTGACTCAGAATAATATTCACTCCAGACCATCTGTTTTCTCAACTTAAACATTATTTGCCCTTACTTCCTAGTACCCCAAAAGTAGGGCCAGGTGGGTTGGTGATTCCGGCCAGGAACTGGATGAACCCAGGGGAAACTGTGAACTACCCTGGTATTGATATGGGCCAGGCCAAAGCACCATTAATACTTAACTATGTTAAGCGCATGGTTATGGACAAATTCGGTCATAATCCAAAAAGCAACAGCTAGATTAGGACCCTTCTAGGGTTAGGAATATTAATCTGGCCTGAGCACTATAGTCTGGGATCTAGACCGAGATGTCTCCATGCCTTACAAGATTGATGTATCTCTTATTGTGTCCATACAAAATGACTAATATGAATGTTTAAATGGCTATTGGACTAAGGAGAAGAGAAACACAACTTAAGTGGCTTTTTGCCCTCAGGGATTGCAGGCAATCAGGAAGGGCTTTGCTGTGTTGATGGTGCTATCTGAACAAGGTATGGTTGCTACCCCAAGGTTGGGAGGTTGGGAGTGTAAGGGACAGGCCCAAAATGGACTACCACCAGAATTAATTTAGCTTAGCTTAATAGGAACCTGCATTGCAAAATAACTTGTTTTTCAAGGAACAGGTCTAGATAAGCTTTTTCAGATCCGCTTTATAGGAGCCTGCACTGCAAAATAACTGGTTTTTCTACCCCTGAGCAAGGAATTCAGATACAGGTACTCAAAGGGTGGGAGTCAGACCAGATAACCGGATGTCTCTCATAAGACCCATGTTGCAAGACCCAGGACTGCCTTAAAAACCTGTCAGTTCCTAAGCACCGACGCAAAATGCTGATCTTTAAACTATAGGCTAAGAAGTGATGTACCCTTAATTGGATTGGTTAGGAAAGCATATGTTGTTACAAATCTATTGGCTATGAAATGCGCGGGCTTTGCTGTAACGGCCAGTGAAGGCCTATATAAGATCCCCTTTGAAGAGGTTCGGGGTCTTGCCTCACCTAACTGACCTGCGTGTCTGTGTAGGCGGCTTGACCCTGGCTAGCCAGTCTTACAATAAACCTTGCTTGCTGTTTGCAGTCTCTGGAGTCTCTTTGTCGTTAAAGGGAGATCACTATCTGCGCCCTAACAGGGAGAGATTAGGGAGAAACCAAGGCAGCCAGTCAGAGCATGAAAAGAGAGCAAAGGAGACAGGAGGAGACAGGAATGAGGGGCAGTGTGAGACTGGAATGGGGAGCTTAGTAAAACTGGAATGGCACCTGGGGAGTATGGAATAAAAGGCAACTGATCACCAACCAACCTGGCCCTTGTTTCCTCCTTCACCAGTACATGGCATTGGCTGTCCCAGATGGGTAAGCTGCCCGAGACCACTGAACGCAGGAGGCAAGAGAGAGCAGAGGGATTTGTAGTCATTTTGTGAATATACAAAGAAATATGAAAAAAAATATAGTCCATTTGGCTTTTCAAATCGTAAGTGGAAAATATATTTCTTGAAAAGTGGATGGCAACAGGATAAAGAATAATATACTGGGAACCAGGAAGTTAACTCGGGTTGGAAGAACTGGGGAAAGAAACTGGTATCAGGATTGAACCAGGAGCATAAGTTCCAGTGATTCCTTACCAGGTGTAACTTGTGGTTTTCTTTTTCTTCTTAGTCTGACCATGCTGTGAAAACTTAGTCCTCTGAGATGTACCCTTTCCTCAAAAAGCTCTCCAACCCCAGGAATGAGAATGACTCAGTGAATTTTTTTACAGAGGAAACAGGTTTGAAGAATAGTCTCTTTATGCTGTCTGGGACACTATGGAAATATTCTGTTAGGAGGTACAGCAGGCAATCTAGGTGTGGATACTTTGATGAAACAATTTTGTTTCCATGGTTTACTCATCTTGACAGTTCCAATAGCATCAAAGAGGTGATGAATTGATGACTTTGGGCAGAGTTAATGGGGCTCTCTAGATGAAGTGACAAATAACAAATAGTGGAGTGATAGATTTCGTTAATGATTGTTTCTGTATTGTAAACATTGATATGAAAGTTTTTTAGCATAAGTTTATTAATAATATTTATCGATCACTATCATGACCATCCTGTTGTTCGTCGATTGCCTCGAACAGGCCCCAGTAACGTAGCCTTCATCCTAGTCCAGAGGT